TAGTAATGACAATGACTGAAATTATGATTGCCCACACAGAATTTAGCTTCTTTTGGTTGTAAGTGTGTGAGCATATGGGGAAATTTTGAACATAGACTGGAACACAAAGACCTGGATTGCCTGAAAAGCTTTCCATCAACCCTCCTTTAATCAATGAGAGAGGAATTGGCCCAGAAAGTTCATTGTTTGAAAAGTTGATGGAGTTAGGCAACAAGTCACTGAGACTCTCAGGGATATTCCCAGTCAAGCTATTGTTGGAAAGATCAAGAACATTGAGAGATTTCAGCGAAGAAAGTGAGCTGGGTATAGAAGAACTGAGCTTGTTAGCTTGCAACATCAGTAAATTTAGATTCTTTAGATTGCCAATCTCTGAAGGTATTGAACCGGACAAGAGATTGTTACTGAGATCAATCTTCACCAGGTTGATAGCTCGAGAGATTTCAGGGGGTAGAACACCTGACATCTTATTGTTTTGCATGAACAGTTCGGATAAGTTCCTAGCATTTTCAACTGAATTTGGAAAAGGACCCGTAAAATTATTGTCAGCCAAGTCAATGATTGAAACATGAGGAAGACCTAGAAGTCCTTCTGGTATCGAGCCCTCCAAATAGTTATTACTAACTCGAAACCGTATAAGAGACTTGCAGTTTGCATAACTTTCAGGTAACTTCCCAGAGAACTTGTTATCTAAGAGAAGCAAATACAGCAATTTACCTCCTCGACAAACCTCTGTTGGCAATGAACCAGATAGATTGTTCTCTGACAAGTCCATACCAACCATAGGTGATGACTGCCCCATATTTTGTGGAAGTTGTCCTGATAGGAAATTTCCATAGAGTGAGAGCATGGTTAAGGTTGTTGAGTCTGCAATAACACCTGGGATTTCTCCTGCAAGACTGTTATTATAAAGCTGCAGGACTCCAAGTTTGGGAAGTCGACATATAGAGTCTGGAATGCTCCCACTCAACTGATTGACTGACATGTCCAAGTCTCTGAGCTCTGTCAGGTTTCCTAGTTCCTCTGGTATTGTGCCCGATAAGTGCTGGTTGTAATATAGCTCAAGCTGCTGCAAGTTTTTAAGCAAACCAAGCTCCTTAGGAATCTGACCTGAAAGGAAATTTCCACTCAATTCTAGATCAACAAGTGATGTCATGTTTCCTATAGATGCTGGGATTCGACCATACAACATGCAAGTCGTGAAGACCATAACTTTGAGCTTTGTGAGCCTGGAGATGTTCTTCGGAAGTTGCCATAAGTTTAATTGATCATTTTCATTGAAGTAGAACTCCTCAAGATTGGTAAGATTAGTTATCGACATGGGGAAGTCACCTGTAAAGAGGTTGTATGACAAGTCAAGTACACATAAAGATGTCATTTTTGAGAAATCCGGAACTGTTGCTCTTAGGTATATAGAACTCATATTGAGCTCTTCCAAAAGAGAGCAGTTAACGATGCCGTTAAGAAAGTTGCCACGGAGATTGTTGCGGCTGATATCAAGAACACGCAACTCTGGCAGATAAGAGCATACATCAACTGGAAAATTGCCGGAGAGTGACCAGCCTGAGATGTTAATAGTTTCAACACACCCTTGATTGTTGCAAGCAACTCCTGTGAAATTGCAATAAGTTTTCCCTCCACTCACATCCCAATCAGACAAGGCCTTTCCCGATAGAGAGGCTTTCATGATGGTGAAGAACTGCGACTGATCGTGTCTTACAGCTTGACAAGAATAGAACACAAAAATAAGCAACACTAGAAAGAGAAAATTAGCTTTTGGTGCCATTTCATAGAAAAGGAAACAGAAAACGGGGGAAAAAAAGAGAAAAGGCTTATGTTAAAAAGATAAAAAGAGGTGGTAGTTAAGGGGTTGTTGAGAGAAGAAGGTGGAGAAGAGAGAATATAAATGAGTTGATTGAGGGGATCATTGACTGCAGCAGTAATAAGCCTCGACGATAAAAAAAAGAAAAAAGAAAAAAAAGCAGGTTCTCGCTGTAGTACTTAGAGTTATGGAAAGAGGTGTGTTGTGTGCATATCTTTTCCATAAAGAGGCTTTTTTCTATGTTTATACCCCACTAGCTCACATAGAGGAATAACATCCATGTTTCTACTTTATACAGATTAGATGTTAGAATAATCTGCTACAGGATCCTGATCACCACATGTCCTCTCGATCAGAACGCTCTTGATGTGATCTGTCCTGCTTTCTCTTGGATGGTCATAGCCCAAAAGTTCTACAAGCTGCAGGTATGTTACCAATATTGCCACTTACATCAGCACACTAATTTTATTTAAGCATGACCATGGGTACAATGTTTCCGATGTATTTTTGTAATCAAAAGCAAATTGCATTTCTGGCATTACATGACAGATATCATGATTCCCCTATGCTGTCCGTGGTTCAATAATATAGAAACATAAATTATTTTATAGGGTCCTATATACATGCCGTCAGCTCTTTGCTTGCGGAAGATAATGTTAATGTCATGGTTTCATCTCATGAAACAAGGGGCATTTGCTCTCAGCCTCTGACGTGTGAGATTCATATATACATATAGTTTGCATCATCTTGATACGTATAGGAGTTTGGAAATATACTTAAAGATATACAAAATATATTTGAACCTAATTTGATCATGATTTGTTATCAGTTATCTGACCTGGACTTGGATTTGATTCTGGTCTTCCTTCCAATACCTTGTATATGTTCCTGCTGCACATTTTTATCAATTACTTATAGACTTCCACCTTGTCATAGAACTGAATTCTAATGAATAAAAAGATATCTACTGTTTTTCTTTATCCATGATTCCTTTTGGTTTCTGACCTGACTATGACACAAGTTTACACTTACCCAATTGGCTAAGCATCCTCATTTTCTTCTCTGAACCAAAGCTGTCAAAAAAGTATACTTTGAATCTTAATTGCAGCTCAACCCATCAGCTGTACCATGGTTGACTACCAATTTTCATCAACCAGATTATCCTGGTTTCTGTATGGAAAAAAAAAAAAAGCCAAGAATCATTTGTTTTCAAATGAAATATTGTTCGGTTGACCTTGTTGAGCCAATGGAATGTTGGCATCCAACTTTGGACTTAAACCTGCCACCAAGTGCATCAAAATTGTTTATATTTTACTCATTTCCTTATTTTTCATTCCTCCTGGTAAAAGCACAGAGAATTAGAAAATTCTTTTCCGGGATAAAGGTGGATAAGTTGGGGAATAATCTATTCTATTATATAATCTTGTTGGAGAATTTGCATTATACAAGGCAGGACCATGTTAGAAATTAATTGTTTAAGTGATATTTATTAGACTTAATTAAGGTATAGAAGGAGTACAGTAATGCAATTTTTGCTTGCCAGGGGACCACCATTACTGAAACTTGTCTGGATCGGATCAAGTTAAAGTACCAAAGAATTTCAAGTACGCTTCCACTTGCATTTCAATATTTCATGAAAATGTGAATGAAAGGATTCAAAGGAAAAGGGAAAGCTGGAAAATGGTATGAGAATGAGAACTATGCAAGATCCTTTTAACCTTTTATAGTTATTTTTTTTTCTTGGCCTGATTCGAACCTCCAGGAACCATTGTTGTGGAAAGCTAAACATGGGATCAAGCTGAGAAACAACAAAAATATTCCCTCATTAGATGAAACTTATGGCTAACTAAAAAAAATCTATGGATGATAATCTTTCTTAATAAAAATTGGGGTTTGGATTAGATATCTTGTCTTCAACTTAACTAGAAAAGTAGTACAGTTACCAATAGTTTAATTAGGTTAATTTCAGTTTTTTGCAGGTAGGTGATATAAAGTTACCTTGATAGTCACTCAACCCTTACAAGATGACAAAATATTTGCAAATGTATGGAAATTAAGTTGGACTCTTGACAAGCTTATAAATCATGTTAGTGGGAAACTTTTTGGATGAGCTTAGGATTTTTATTCATTTTTTTTTTCTCATTTTTCAGAGCCAGGATGTGAGAATAAACTAATGTGCTGACTTCCTTGAAGTCCATATTTGGTTGAGCAGCATTTGTGAATCTGTGTTGGATAGACTAAGAGATGTGCTCTATGATGAAGAGCAAAAGCAAAAGATGTCCACTCTCCAGTCCTCAAAATGTATTTGCTGCAGTCTGACTTGGCAATTCCTCTTAAGCTGCTTTTCTCTCCTTTCTTTTTTTTCTTTTCTTTTCTTTGATCACATTTTCTTTTGGAGAAGCAAACATTGGTAATTGGTAACTGCAAAATTAAATTCCTATCCTATTTGTATAATCATCTCCTTTATTAAAGAGGGGAGAATAAGATTATTCCTTGGAAGGTCAATTCTTTTCTCAATTTTCAGGCATTATCATTTGTTAATTTCCATAGTATAGAATAGGTTTCTGGTTTGCCCTATGAGTCGATTTATAATCATTGTCATGTTTTATTAAATTGAACAAGTGTCTGCCATTAATGTAATTCAAAGCTTTTATGTGAATCAACACATTCATGTGTTATTAGACAATTATTATTGGTTCAGCCACTTTACTATTTTTTTTATAAAATATATTTTGGTTAGTGGTCAAGGGTGATATAAGATGTAGTGAAGTTCTGACTGTGAATTTTTTTGGTTAGTATCTAGGCCCATATCCTTTTTTAGATTATTATTGTAGCCCATAATAACCATAAATTAGTGACTTTGTTTGTGTCCAGCAAATGACAATTGAAAATCTTGTCTAAATGGGCTGAAGTCTGGCTGTTTTTTTCTTGAACATGGGGGGCTTCAACTTATCCAAAACCCAATCCTGGCCTACCTATTTTTCTTTTTCATTTTCCCCTTTTTCCAGATTGCTTGGGGGCAAAAGGGTTTCTAATTGCAAGTTGAAACTATCTGTTAGAAAATGGTGATGGCAACGAGACTAGTTCAGTAGGATGTCCAATCCATCCTAATTTTATTAAGAATCATTTATTATTATAAGGGTTTAGGATGATTTTGGTCTTTTGGAGTTTTAACACTATGGCCAGAACCTATTTAAATAACTTTGAACAAACAAGTATGGTTGGGCCTTTGATAAATCAAGCTAAGGCTTCAAGAATAATTACGTTTGCTCTTGCTTGATCGGTCAGCCAAAAGTTCTTGCCATCCGACATTGCTTTCTGTTGACTTCACAACAATTTTCAGATATTTGAACTCCTTATGAATTAGCGTTCTTTAGATTGTGTTCATGGCATTGTCACTGGCTTCTAATAATTGGATTAAATCTCCCATCTATGGATAGCTAGAGCAAAAATTGATCTTGACGAAATTTAACAAATCTTGCTCAGCTTCAAGATCTGATGAATCAAATTGTTTCAGAGCAGAACAAGGATCAATTTCCATTTCCAGGGTTGATCAGACCAATGGTATGTTATTATCTCATTTCCCGGGCAAGATTAAGTTGAAGAAACTGGCATTTCCTGCCTCATATTTTTATTTCTAAACGAGGTAGGCACCTATAAATTTTCCTTTGCGGATTAGCCGCCATTGTGAAGGTCAAAGATCACAAAGCATAACAGCTTACAGGCTCTGGCTAATAACTTTACAACTGATCACAAGCTGATCAAAATACCTAATATGTTACAAAAATGCTACTACAATGTTACAATATTACAAGGTTTATAACTGTAGATTGAATTTCTATGCAGAATCCATTCCTGCTGCTTCCTTTTTCTTCTGGTCACCGTCCTTACTGATAACAATGCCGACCAATTTGCATGGTTCAGCCTCTTCCAGCATTTGAACCACGGTTCTCATGGTGGGTCTAAGGGCCGGCAGCGTGGTCGTGCACGAAATGGCAATTCTCAACACCTTGACAGCATCTTCTTTGAAAGCATCTGGAATTCTTGGGTCCACTATACCTAAAACACTCTGTTTCTTCTTTATTTTGCTGCAGACCCAAGTCACTATGTCATTATTGTCTCCATACTCTGGTTCAATTGGTCTCTTTCCACTCACTAGCTCCATTAATACCACTCCAAAGCTGTATACATCGCTTTTCTCGTTAACTTTGTAGGTGTAACCATATTCTGCAGAATTAACATTTTATTATTAACAAACAGAATCTATAAAAATAATCTCCTAATCAATGCTTCATTTGGATGCTTAAAGACAGATTCCACCATAATTTGGTTAATATTTCTTAATTCTCATAAATCAAAGGGAACCTGAAAGAATAAACAGTAAAAAGCAACTTACCAGGAGCTATGTAGCCGTGGGTGCCTGCAATGACATGGGTGGAGTCTTTAACACCATTGGCCTGAACAATCTTGGCGAGTCCAAAATCAGCAATCCTAGGCTTCAAAAACTCATCCAGCAATATGTTACTAGATTTGACATCCCGGTGGATCACCGGCCTCTCGCATCCATGATGAAGGTATTCTAGTCCTTTAGCTGCCCCAACGGCAATCTCATACCTAGTATCCCAATCAAGCTCCATTTTCTTACTCGAATGCAACAGATCCCACAAGCTCCCGTTAGGCAAGTACTCGTACACCAACAAGCTTGAGTCTTCACTAGTAATGCTGCAGTAAAGCTTCACCACGTTGACATGTCTTATTGAGCTCAATGTCTGCACCTCCGCGTCAAATTCCTTTGCCTTACCATCACGATTGCTTAGGATTGGAGTACTACTCCGGCTTTTTCTGCGGCCATGAGAATCTGTATTCCATATATGTTTCACAGCAAGTTCTACACCATTAGAAAGCATTACTTTATATACATTTCCGGACCCTCCTTTTCCAATCAGATTCTCTTGCTTGACGGAATCAAGAATCTCATCTTCAGTGAAAGATAGCACATGGAAAGACTTAAAATCCCAAGATTCTTTCTTCAAAGAACGGTCGTGGTCTTTTTCTGTTCTCCTTAAATATAAGAAATATCCAAGCGAAGCAAGCAAGATCGTTGCACCTAGAGCGAAACAAATTATAAGCGTACGTACATCTTTAGACATGCCAGAATCTGTTGGACATTGCTTGAAAGATCTGATAGTTGAACTGCAAAGGCCAGGGTTTCCGGTCAAGCTACCATTATATGCTTCAATGGAGAGAGACTGTGGTATAGGACCAGTTAACTGATTATAGGATAGATCAAAAAGGTTCAGCTTGAGGGACGACAAGCTCTCTGGAATTTTACCAGAAAGTTCATTTCGAGACAAATTTAGAGAGTTCAATGTCGGCAAAGATCCCAAAGATGAAGGAATTTCGCCAGAAAGAGAATTGTTAGCCATGTTTATGTTACTGATGGAAGTACAAGAACCTAATGACTCTGATATGGAACCAGATAATCTGTTGTTGTTCAATTTAAGACTGTTCAATCTTTTGAGTTCCCCAATTCCCTGAGGGATTTTCCCAGAAATCTGATTGTTATTTAGCTCAATTCTAACCAAAGATGTAGCTTCTGAAATCTCTTCTGGCAACTCACCTGATAACCGATTCTTTCTGCGGACATTATTCCAATCTCTTTTGCATTCTTGATATCAGATGTAATTGGACCTTCAAATTGATTGAAAGAAATGTCAATAATATCCACTTTCGGTAATCCCCATAATCCAGCAGGAACTATGCCTGAAAGCGAGTTGTTACTGACTCTAAACCGCTTTAAAGTGGTACAACTTGCGTAAGTCATCGGAATTGCACCGGTGAGCCTGTTCTGAAGCATAAGAAGCCCTCTCATGGTTCCTTTCTTGCACATGTCTGGAGGAATTGGACCAGTTAAAAAGTTTTCTGATACATCGATGTAGTCGAAATCAGCCCAAGAACCTAGCTTTTGAGGCAGAGGACCGGTCAACATGTTGTTGTAGAGAGACAGATTCGCCAGTTTTTTGAATTGACCCAACTCGGGTGGTACTTCTCCTGTAAACTTGTTCCCAAAGAGTTGCAGACTTACCAGGTTGGTCAAATACCTCACTTCTGAGATATCTCCTTCAAGATGGTTGGTTGAGGCATCGAAATACTCTAGTTTTGACAGATTTCTCAATCCAACTGGAAGTTTTCCTGTTAATTCATTGAAGTAAAGCTCAAGCTGCCAGAGATTGTGAAGCTTTCCAATCTCCACCGGAATTTCTCCAGATAAATAATTGTGTTGGAGCTCTAAATCTCTAAGCTCAGTGAGATCGCCAATTGCTGGAGGAATCTTCCCTTCAATGCTGCAATTCGCCAAATAAAGCCAATTCAGTTTCTTTAGCTTCAAAATCTGATTAGGAAACGCAGTTCGGTCGAAAAGGTTGTCCCCGAGGCTCAAAACAGCAAGATTGGTCATGTTTTCAAGTGATTTCCATGGAAAAGGACCAGAAAATCCGCTGCCATTTAAATAAAGGAATTGTAATTCGTTGAGTGCAGATATATCAGGAAATGAACCCGTAAAAAGATTGCTCCGAAGATCCAAATATTGAAGCTTTACACAATTACTCAAATCTTCAGTGATTGCACCATACAATAAATTGTACCCCAAGGAAAGCTTATCCAAGGATTGAAGCTGGCAAATTGAATCCAAAGGAAGAACACCCGTCAGCTTCTGACTTGAAAGCTCGATTTCCTTAACCGACCCCTCTGCGTTGCAAGTGATTCCGTTGAAGCCGCAAACAGAATTGGCAGCCTTCCATGAATCAAAAACATTGGTACTGCTTGATTTATCAAGAGCTGATTTCAGGCTCAGCAATATCTGAAGTTCATCAGATTTTACGAAACAAGGTAAGCAAAAACAGAACAGGAGATATAAAGAGAGCAAGATTCGCCGTCGTAAGCAGGCGTTTGACATGCCGGAAGTTAACAGACGAGAAAGGGGTAACTTTTCTTGAAAGGGTTCTCTTCTAATTAAGTGGACTCAAAGTAGCGAAGACTTTAAGAAAGATTGTGGAGGATAAGGACCGAAATCCCTGGTCGCTAGAAAGGAAAATTGACTTTTTACAAGGATGGCATTTCTTTTTTATTTTTCTGTTACAAAAGTCATTGTTTTGCAGTAAAATTCTAAAAACAATGGCAAAATCCCATTGTTTGGAACAGGAAAAGTTGTGTCTGATGTTCGCTGTTCATTTATTCATATCATGTTACCTTTTTATTTTTCCTGCTATCTATTCATGTTACCTTCAACCATGTAAAGATTTTTTTTTTCAACATGAGGTCAGGAGTCACCCGCCCGTTTCTTTATATTTTCAAACTCAAAGCAACTTTATTTATTTGCATTTAAGATTCTGGTCATGTGTCCCCGGCACCAATGGGGATTGCCCTTAGCAAAACATGTAGTGTCAATATTATTATTATGACGTGGTAGACCTGGAGACAGGAGAGTGGACGAAGCACGGAAATTCATCAGGCTGCCGACGTTGACTTTCTTTTTTAAAAAGTAGCAGGGTCTACCAAAAAAACCACGTCGATAATGTTTAGTTGGGGAGTTATCTGAGACTCTTATCATGCGCGTGGGCATACGTCCTATCATTACTGCCTGTCTGCGTCCTGACCAGATATCTCATTGACAAGACAACGCTTCTATCCATTTTCGACGAAGATTTGATACATTGAATCTCTCTCTTTCGCTGCTGATTGATGGACTCGTTTTTCTAGAGGGCGGTGTGTTTTAATATTTTACATGTGCCGTCGTCTAAATAAAAACAAAATAAAAATTATCGCTGTCTATTAATTTTATATAATTCATGTATTAAAATATTTTAAATATTTCATTTAAATTTCCTTTAGTTAATATTTTTTAGTATTTATTTTTTATTTTATAGTAATAAGTTCACTTTACATGAGTTTTACTGTTGAGTGATGAAAAATGAATAATTTGATATCAGCACGAATTGGAATAATTGTGGTGCTAATTTTATATTAAATTGGATAAATTATGAATTTTTATTATATTACATCACATCTACTTATTTTGTAATAAATATTTAAAATATAAAAAAATTTTATTTTACATTCATATTATTATGTAAAACACAAAATATAATTTATAATTTTTATTAAATTTATTTATAATTTATATAAAATTTTAAATTATATCATTATATTTTTTTTATCATATTTTAATTATATTTAAAATTATTATATTTTATATTTATATGTTATTATTTTTATCGTGTTTACATTCTAATAAAGTAAACGAAGCGCAGACCATGACCATGAGAAATTGAGAATCTAAAAATTCAGTGTCTTCCCGAGCGCAACGAAGATGCTTAGATAATTTGTATTATTGTATTATATTTTATATTAAATTTAATTTTAAATATAATATAAATAATTTTAATTTAAATACGATATGAACATATGAATCATATAAATAATATAAATATAATATATTTATTATATATATTACACATAAAATCATATAATTAATATATTTTAAATTAATTAATATTCAATTAATATAATACGATATAATATAATTAATACGATTATATATAAATAATAAATTAAAATTAATTATTTATTTAAATAATATAAAATAATATGATACGATTACATGATTATATATAAATAATATGATTGATACGATTGTTTTATTTATTTTAAATAAAAATATTATTAAAATTAGTATTTAAATAAAAATTATTTAAAAATTAAATATTTATAATATATTTAAACATCAAAATATTATGATAAATATGATTATTAAATTATTTTTTGAAATAAATTAAAATAAAATTTAAAGTTTTTTATGTTATAAATAATATCATATTTTAAACATATTATTATAATTTAACATAAAATATAATATAAATAATATCATATTTTAATTACTTTGACACAATTAAAATATAAAATATAATTACATTAAATTTATATATAATTTTTTTCATATAATTTCTATATAATATCGTGAGATCTCATTGTTCATCTTTAATTAGGGTGACAGTCAAAGCGCCCTGAGGCCGCTTCCACAAAAACTGGGATGGCCTCACTTCTACGCACAGGAGGGGAATAGGATTCCGACTTCTACCAATATTAAGGGATTAAAGTGATAATTAAGATTGAAACTTCCTTTTTACCTACTTTCGTTTCTCTTTAACCGGTCTCAATTTTTACTGCAAATTAAAGATTTAAACAGCTTGATATATTTAAATTTGAAATTTTATTAAGTTAATTTTTATTATTAGTTTTAAAAGATGGTATTTAATAATTTTAAATTTTAATATTTATAACTTTTTTCAAGTTATAAATTTTTTTGTAAAAATAAACTAAATATATTTCTAACTTAAAAAAAAAAAAAAAGCTCTGATACAAAAATATTTTAAGATATTATGTGAACAAATTGCTTTTTTTTTCTTTTATAGAAAAAAGCATGACGAAGACCAGAGAATTTAATAAGTAGAAGCACCAAATTTCCATACAATTAAACATTATAATATTGGGTTGTAAGAAGACTAGCTAATTAAATTTCTTGGGTTTAGGATTTATTTAATCTCAAAATAGCATGTCATTGCCATAACCAGTTACTATTTCTGAAGAAGGCAATGCTGTTCAAAGAGTTTATATGATTAACCCTCCTCTCTTTATTCTCATGGCAGATGGTGGAATCATGGTTGGTCCCCAAAATGACATGTATATTAAATACAATAAGATAAATGAGATAAAAATAATATGCTATCAAATAAATAATTAATATTTTACTTGAATATTATCGAATTTCAAATAAATAATTATCAATAAAAGAATGATGCAATTGATAAATTTATTTATTTTTATAATAAATAATTTTAAATTTAAATTTAATCTATATGTATTAACATAAATTTTAAATACATAAATTTTATAATTTATGATACATTTTATTTTAACAAGAAAAATTGAACAAACTTTTATATGAAGTTTTTTATATCAAAATAAATAAATAAAAATGACATGAGTGATAAGTCAGGTATCTTCGTGATCTCATTCACATTAGGACCACTTAATAAGATTGATGATAAAATGCAGGTAACTGTCAGCCTGTCACTTTTAATTTTGTCTATATCAAGAATCACGAGATTAATATCAAAATTAAAATTAATTTCTAATTTACTGCTTCTGTTTCTTTGCTAAAAATTGAGGCAGCATAAATTTCTGATGCAAAGGTTTCTCTAATTGTCACTAATATTGTTGATCCCTCTAATGATAACATCTGCTATCCACATGTAGGCCTCGATAGTTGTTACCCCATTTTGATTCAGATTGATTCTGGTGGGTATTCTCTGAACTTGATCAATCTCAATCCTGAAATTACCTTCGTTTTTCACTTTCCATTCCTGCTTTCTTTCATGTGTTCAAGACACAAAATGATGCTACAATCCTAAAGATCGCAACCGGGATTTTTCCCTTCGTTTCGATTCCTATGGTTTAGGGTTTCATCAGAGTTGAAACTCAATCGAATACAAAAAAAAGTTCAACAAGGGCTCATGAACGTGACTCATGTATTTATAAACAGATATGATAATTTAAAATACGATACAGTAATATGATATAAATATAATATAAAAATATAAAAATAATATCATTTAAAATTTTTATAATAATTATATATAAATTTAATAAAAAAATATTTTTTATTTTTATATCGACATAAATTATAATATATATTTTTTATTAAAAAAAATATGAATTTTAATATTTTATATGATAAATACACAAGTTATTGGATTTATTTATAAGAAGAGAAGAAATCCAAGTTTCATTTTTCATCGGTAATTGCCATGATGATCATGTTCGACGTGGGCTCAGCCATGGAAACCGGTAAGAAACTACTAGATTATTGAATATAATTGATCATCGATATTCTTTCCTAGCTAACCTTGTTTCCTATGTCTTCTGCTGCTTTTTCTTCTTTGCTAGTCAACTTTGCATCACTCTTCGTGCAGGCCTTTTAGCCAAACAAATGTCATTGGGTACTTGATTTTGTTTGAATCAATTGGCACCACAAGGCCCGATTTTGTTTCCTAGCTTGCGAAACTGAATCATCAAAGTAGCACCTTTTGATTACTTTATGCAACTCGTTTTTTGTCTTACCTTGCTATTACTTTGGAATATATGATTTAATTCCATTGTCGGTTGCTTTAAACGTGCCAATTTAAAACAATTATTTTTTAAAGTCACCGTCAAATTGCCTTTTTTTTTTTTTTGAAAAATGTTAATCGGTGCCTAATAGCACACTGGTTAAAGTGATAATTAGGGAAAAAAAAATGTATGCAAAATTCTTTCTTTAAATAGTGTTTTAATTACTTTTAAATATTTGTTATAAGCATTCATTAATCGGAATTTTTTAAACAAAATTTTCATTATTCTCTAATTATTAACACAGTTAATTAATCATTGGAAAGTAATTAATCAAGAGCGAGTGAAAATTGGAAATGAAAATAGTTTTTTCTGTAAGTAATCAATGTTTTTGGGTTTGTTTAGTTCGTAGGACGAAGAGATGACTGATTCAATTGGTCAGTCTATTTTGTAGGAGACCCAAGATGTCAATGCCTCTATGACTTGCGAACAGGGACCTTTGAATAGTAGAGGAGACAGCATTCAAGCTCTCAAGGAAAATCTTTGAAATTAAAAAAAAAAAAGCATTCAACCTACTAATGCATAATTGACAATTATACGAATTTTTTATTATTAAAACACTTAGCAGCAGTGCTTTATATTTTGCATAAAGTTTCTCAATTGCCGATACAAAAAACTTCAATCGAGATTTAATTTAAATGAATAATGAGATTGATTTTAATAAAATTAATAAAATTAATAATAATAATAATAAAAATATTATAATTATGATTTAAAAATTTTAATATTAAATAAATTTTATTAAAATTAATATTTAAATTTAATTAATGATACAATAAATTCAATTATATCATATTTATATACGTGTGGAATCAAATTAAAGCTTAGAAAAGAGCATTGAAACCTTAAAGAATACATATGATCATCAGATTCTCTAGTCTTGATCAAAGCCAAAATATGCCAGCAAAGCCAAGGATATCTACAATTAAAGAAGAAAAAGAGAAGAAAGGGACAGCACAAAATACCAGGATGATCATTCTGAATATCCAGGATATATTTAATCTGTTATCCTTATAAAGAGAAACACAAACATCAATGATCTCAAATCAAACGAAAGGTCGGTACAATTTTCCATTCTTTTTCACATTTTGCCCACACTTTC